ATAAGGGGGCCCCGGAACATTTGCTTACTGACCAAGGCAGAAATTTTTCATCGAAATTGATTCAGGACGTGTGTGACTCGCTGGGGACCAAAAAGATCCAGACGTCCCCATACCACCCGCAAACTGACGGGATGGTCGAGCGGCTGCATAGGACGCTGACGTCCATGCTTTGTCACCAAGTAAACACCGCTCAAGATGATTGGGATCTGCATGTTGCAGCGACGCTGGCCGCGTATAGATTGGCCCCGCATGCCTCAATGGGGTACTCGCCATTTTTTCTGATGTATGGACGGGAACCGGAAGCGCCGGCTATTGTGAAATTTGGAATTCGAAAACGGGAGAAATCTACGACGGTGCCTGCTCCGATGCAGGTGGCTTTGAACCGTCTAAGGGAAGCCCGAGAGGCTGCATTGCAACATACGGCACGACGACAAGCCGCTAACAAAAGATTGTTTGGCAGGCAGCGGCCACGAGAGCCGTGGAGTGTTGGAGATAAAGCCTGGTTGCACTGCCCCATGGTGCCGGTGGGAACGTCCCTGAAGTTTCACCGCCCCTGGCAGGGGCCCGTTGATATTGTGGAGGTTTTGCGGGATCAGAGTGCGCGAATAAAATTCGGTCGTCGGACATGGTTTGTTCACCCGTCGCGCCTGAAGAAATTTGTGTTACCATATGATGCGTCATCCCCCATCCGAGAGCGGCCTGTATTGCATGTGTCCGACAAACCTGTGGGGAGGTCACAAGTGCGCGTGTCCCAGAGATCTGCCCCCCGTGTGCCTGCAGGATCACCCTTTTTGGGCAGGGTTACTGACCGGACGCCGATTGAACGGCCACAGATCCGGACCAATGGCCGTCCAGACCATGAATGATGGACAGCCCCGCCAGCTGAGTGTCGCTGGGACAGGGATGGGCGCAGGGTTCATTGACAAGACGAGCGAGGCCCTCCCTTACCGCAGGGTATCCCGTGCAGGGGAGATGGACCGGCAGCGGGAACCCTTCCAGGAGGAATACAATACATTAACTTTGGGGGTTGGGAATTCTGTATAAAGGTGTTGTGTGCGTGTCGTTGCATGATTGTACAAAATGGTTGTATATTGCAAATGCGTTATGTATATATGTTGTCATCGTTCCGTCCGCTTCACTCCACTACTCCAATTCGAGTATATCGTAGCCGGGGATGGCTCGGTTCTTTCATCACGGGGGGGGGGGGGGTTATGTAGTGGACTAAACAATATGCATAGGAATTGGCCATATACAGTACATACAGACAGACAAGGAGAACGGGTCACATGAGGTCGAACAGGTGGTCGAGTCGCGGGTGGCGTAAGCAACCCGAAGTAATTAAGGGAGTCGTGGCACGAGGGCTGTGATTGGTCGAGAGGCTGTTAGTGTTAAATGGTGGCGTCTGGATGTCTGATGGAGGGGACAGGTGCGAGCTGGCGGAAAATGGCCAGCAAGCCACGTGGCAATTAATTAAGGCTAATGCGAAAGGGGATAAAACGCGAGGTGGTTTGAACGGAGTTGAGTTGCTGCTGGGGAGTTGTTGTTGGAGAGTTGTTGCTGGGCAGTTGTCGGCGAGAGGTGAAGAGATACGAAGAATACAGCTGGAATGTTAGGGAAGAATAGATAGAGAGCCGGACCCCAAAGACAGTAAATAGCGATAGGGAGAGTCAGCGTTAGCGGAGATAGATGGAGTCACTGTGTGTGAATATATAGATGGAGTCACTGTGTGTGAATAGACAGACAGGATACTGTGTGTGAATATATAGAAGAAGAACCACTGTGTGTGGAAGGGAAGTCACTGCGTGTGAAGAGATAGCGGCGATATTGTGTGTGTGAGGAGATAGAAGACGAACCACTGTGTGTGGAAGGAAAGCCACTGCGTGTGAAGAGATAGCGGCGATACTGTGTGTGAGGAGATAGAAGACGAACCACTGTGTGTGGAAGGAAAGTCACTGCGTGTGAAGAGATAGCGGCGATACTGTGTGTGAGGAGATAGAAGGCGAACCACTGTGTGTGGAAGGGAAGACACTGTGTGTGAAGAGATAGAGGAAGGAACACTGTGTGTGGAAGGAGATGCACGGACGATGCTGAAGTAAATCGGAGTGTCCGAGTTGGCGGAGCACGGAGAGAATTACTGTGTGTACGGAACGATGGAATAAAAGTGACGGCGGAAAAAGAGACGGTTGTCGTCCGAGTGAATTCACGGCACTACAGATATATGGGTAAGGGTCAAAGTTACAAATCACATTTGCAAATGTGATTGTATCCAGCACTAACCTTCTGCTAGACCCCCCCCCTCAAATATGACGTCACAAAATTCTGCTCCCCCCCCCCCCAAAAAATATAAAACATGCTTCAAATCGCTTTAAACTATTGTCATTGTAGTGCGTATTTAATGTGGCGCTGCACTCTGATGTTGTAGGAGAAAACATTTCTTAAAAGCCTATTTAATTAAGTAGAACGTGTTGTCTATATTTATTTAAAGTTGCGAATTTTGATGTGACGTCACATTTCTCAAACCCACCCCCCCCCCCTTCGTCACACATCGTCACAAATGTCTGACCCCCCCCCCCCCCAGGTGCGTGACGTCATTTATGGACGGCCCCTAACCCTGTGAGCCATGCGGCTCTTGACTCGGGTGCAACTGCAACAAAACAAAAACATGAACAAGAAACATCTTAAAGTGACTACACGCAACAGAAAAATCCAGGAAAAAACAGTGAAGTCTTCCAGAAAAAACACCGCATTTCAACGCTGTGTGCAAAATCCCAGTGGGATGCAAGTCAAACAATAACAACCATAAGACAATTTAGATTAAAGTTATCAGGCTAACTTTGTACTACAACAAACAAAAATGGCTAAACCAAAACGTTTTAAAAATCACCAAAATAAAGCTCTAAAAACAATGTAACAGTGATCATGGAAACTGTGATTCAAATTTAACAATAAACGATATACATAACGACAGTTTGATGTTAAGGTAGGAAATAAGGTTGTTCCAAAACGATGGTGCTGTAACGACAAAGGCTTTCTCAACTATTCCAATTATTGTCCTTGGGGTAGTTAAAAGCCAAGGGGCCGTCCATAAATGACGTCACGCACCTAGGGGGTGAGGGGGTTCAGACATTTGTGACGAGGGGGGGTTTGAGAAATGTGACGTCACATAAAAATGCGAAACTTTAAATATAAACAACACGTTCTACTTAATTAAATAGAATTGTTATAACAACACTAATTTTGATAAATTTTAATTATTAACTATTTGATTATTACTAAGGTCACCTTTTATTTATTCCATGAAGGAGCATTTTGCTTCTCCATGGGAGAATGGAGAAGCATACATTTTGTAAATGTTTTGAATTATTGTTATTAAACATTTTGATTTTAATAATGCTACCAGGGCTTTTCATCCTGTGGAATGACTATGTGATTGTTATAATTGTACTCTCCATTTTGCTTCGTTCTACTACAAAGTTTAAAGTATTTTTTTATAGTTAGAATTACTTTCAATATTTTATAATTCTGAACATCTGCAGTTTTAGTTAGACGTTGAATATTTTCAAGTGCATTTTATGCTAAATTTCAGCTTTCCAATGTCTCCTTTTTAATACGTGTTTTCTCCTACAACATCAGAGTGCAGCGCCACATTAAATACGCGGTACAATAACAATAGTTTAAAGTTATTTGAATCATGTTTTATTTTCAAAATGGAAATATGGTTTGGGGGGGGCGCAGAGCTTTGTGACGTCATATTTTAGGGGGGTCAAAAATCGACCAAAATCGCGTGACGTCGTTTATGGACGGCCCCCAATTAGATGGGCGTATTAAGTTTCTTGGGTTCGACAATGGGGTTAATCAATTAGCTAAGTATATGTTCAACTTCTTTCGCACCGTACGTAGCTAACCGTGCTTAAAAGGAGGTGCGGTATAGCACGGAATTGCCAATAAGGATTTTGTGGATGAACAGGGCCCAATGTAGATAGATTTCTTCTTGCATAAAATGTGAAATTGTATTTAAAGCAGAAGTCACAAAGGTGGGTCTTGTGGTAATATCCAAAATGATGAAGCGGGTTGAGTCTGTTTATTGTTTCATTAGTAGCTGATCTGTAAGCAGCGTCACAGGAGTCTAAGAGTGGTAGATTAATAGCTTCAATAATTTGCAGGCGCAATGGAATGGGGGAGCCGGTGTTATTTTAACGTCCGAATGTCGAGGAGGGTGTTTTGCTTGAGCACTCCTCAGCTGTTTTCAGCCGCAGTTCTCCGAGCCCCCTGTAAGCGCGGTGCTGTAGTAGCCTCGTGGGAATTCCCTTTACGCGGCACCAATGTCATGGCTACCACCGATGTTTGAGAACTTTCATTGTCATTGTGAACTTTATTTGGCAAAGATTTTAAAGTTTTACTAATAAATGAGCAAAAGTTCTGTATTCACAAATGTAACGAAATTTTTGCAAACGCACGACACGGTTATCAGGACCATATCGTACGATAATTATCGTGGTATCGCCAGATCGCGACGAGCCGAGTCAAATCTGTAAATTAGTTCCACGCCCCCCCCCCCCGCCGAGTGGGGGGAGGGGCTCACTAACACCGCCCCCTCGCTATACTAACCCCTCCCACTTTACCACAGCCCCGCCCATGATTCCCTAACCCCCGCCCTCGGCAACACTAACCCCTCCCACTCGACTCCAGCCCCGCCCATGACACGTTAACCCCGCCCCTTCGCCACACTAACCCCTCCCACTCAAATCTAGCCCCGCCCATGGCTCACGAACCCGTTTAATCTGACTCCGTCTTTCCCCCCCCCCTCGACTCCCAGCCGTGAAGCCTCTTCGCACTAACCCCGCCTCCTCTTCGCACTAACCCCGCCTCCTCTTCGCACTAACCCCGCCTCCTCATCGCACTAACCCCGCCTCCTCATCGCACTCACCCCTCCCCCCCCCCCTTGACCGCTATTACCCCGCCCGCCCGCCCGCCTCACAGGGCCCCCGCCCAGCCCCAGCGCGCGGCGCACGCGGCTTGACGCGGCTAGACGCGCGCGCGCGCCGCAGCCGATAGACGCTCGCAAGCGCGGGTGGGCGCGCGCACAGCCTGACGACCAAACCCGCGCGCGCGTGCGTGCGTGCGCGTGCACCGGGGTCTCGTGCAACGCCTCCGCGAACTCCCTCGCGCCACAGAGACTCGCGAGCTCCGCGTCCTCTCCCCACAAAATAACAAACACCAGCCCCGCCCCTCACCCCCCCTTCCCGCCCCTTCACTGGCGCGTGAGGGCGACACGCAGCGCGCGCCATGCGTCCGAGGCCCGCATGATGCTCCAGCTCTTCCTCATCGGTAACTATGACTAAACTTGCTTCTGACGCATGCACAAATTAACGATAGCCTTGCTGTTGATTGCTGTCAAAGTATTCGGTTGCATTGCGGTATATTTTTTTTGCGAAATTCGGGATAAAATAAACACCGGTCAGTGACTTCCGGTGTGTTTGCAGCCACTTCCGGTGGTAGTAAAGTTCAATTTACTTTTTTAAATAAATAAATAAATCTCAAATGCGTTTGCAAAGCGCTCCCATGATCTATCGCAGTGCATTGATTGCTCCGTGTGTTCGCATTCCAGTGCTGCTTTTCGAAGAGACGAGCATTGCAGAAGGTACGAGCTTTTAAATCCCTCCACTCCTGCAAATATTCGCACGGCGTGGTCCCGCCACGCGAAGTTCCATTCAACTCGCCGGGAGCGTCCCAACACGACGCGCCTGAATGTCCACGGACGGCACCGATTCCCACGCCGATAGTCCGCCGTGGCGTCTAAACACGTATTTGTCATAAGCTTTGGAGAACATTGTGACACAGATGAGGATCGCGTGTTCTTTAAAAAATATATATATGACAGTGCTTGCACCAAAACGGTTTCAGTTAATGCGGAATCTTATCCGCACGTGAGGGCTTATCCCCCTTATCGATTCGATGAATGGTCACGGGGCAATCGGATTCACGAATCGATGTTTTTGCCGCAATCCTGTGTAGTTTCATTCACGATGCATGTATCTGTAAAAAGTTTTATGCGGGTTGTTAAATACCGTCTCTTGCACTAGCTCGTACCGCATTAAAACCTTGATAAAACGGTTACCGGTTTGCGCATGTGCAGTATACAAATGTCTCGCAACAAACACGAAATTTGTATTGATAATTAAATTCGAAACGGATGTATGTCGCTATCTCATGGTGTGCAGCGGTTCGACCCCCAAACTTTCCTTCGCGGGAGTTTAGACATCGGCGCAAATTACATTCGGCGCCTTCACACTCTGCCAAAATTACACTGGAATCGTTAATCGGTTCCTGACTTTAAGAACTGTTCAGCTCTTCTGCAATCGGTTACCAGTGAACCGGTTAAAACCCATAGTTTTTGTGCCGCTGTGTTCATTAACACCAGTGTGGATTTTGCACAGTCTTAATTATTCGTGGAATTTACGGTTAACAATACAGTAGATATTACAATGCTTTCATCTAGCAGTGGATTAACCACGAAGCGCGGGTATTCCCACCTCTTCCGAGACGTGCTGGGCAGCGCGGCAGAGGAAACAACAATGACTGCTCCCCACAATGGGGGGGTCTCGAGGTCACCCTCTTCATGCCAGCAGCTGTGATAAACCCACATCGTACCCCCCACCACCACCACCACATGGCAGCCTGCCGCCACCGACTGGAGTGTGACGCCCTGCGGTAGACGGCTATGCTGCTGGATTGACAGAGGCAGGGAGATTGAAGCGTCCTTCTCTGCAGTGCAAGTCCTCGTGGTACGAGGAATACGAATCGGAATATTTATTTATACTGGAGGAATCCGATGAGCTATAAAGCTCTTTTTCACAGATGTCCATTGCATCGCGGCAGCATCCACCGCATCCTCATAAATGAGCAGCACTGACAAGAGTGGGTGGGTGGCTTGGTCATCTCTGTTGGGGTAAGGGAAGACTCAAAGACTCAACGCAAAACAAACACCAAGCACACCTTCTCCTTATAAGATACAGAGACCGTGTACAATATACAACCGTCAACACTGCCCAGGTACCCAATGCGGTGTCTGTGCGTGGTGGCGGTGGTGGTGGTGTAAGGGGCCATCCATTTAGTACGTACGTCAAAACGTACGTACTAAATTACCCCTCCATGCGTACGCACTAAATGGATGGCCCCTAAGTCATTGGTGAGCGGTAGGGTAGTGGTGAGCGGTAGGGTAGTGGTGAGCGGTAGGGTCGTGGTGAGCGGTAGGGTCGTGGTGAGCGGTAGGGTCGTGGTGAGCGGTAGGGTCGTGGTGAGCGGTAGGGTAGTGGTGAGCGGTAGGGTAGTGGTGAGCGGTAGGGTAGTGGTGAGCGGTAGGGTCGTGGTGAGCGGTAGGGTCGTGGTGAGCGGTAGGGTCGTGGTGAGCGGTAGGGTCGTAGTGAGCGGTAGGGTAGTGGTGAGCGGTAGGGTAGTGGTGAGCGGTAGGGTAATGGTGAGCGGTAGGGTAGTGGTGAGCGGTAGGGTAATGGTGAGCGAGCTGCGCTACGAACCCGGCGACCTGAATTCGAATTCCTGCTCATGGCCAACACCGGTGACGATTATGTGAACCGGTCCTGGGCCTCCCCTAGGTCGACTCGGCCTCAGTTGAGTGCCTGGTGTAGTGTGTAAACATCGCCACTAGGGAGACAAAGGCGGTCGGGCGTGGTGTTGGCCACCCACCCCCTCGTGTGCCGGTGTCATCCTTCATAGGTGCTCGCTAACAGCACTTGCCTCAACAGTCTGTTGAGGCTATACGGGGGATCTTTGTCTTTTTGTAAGTCATTTCGTATAGAAATGTTTTTACATACCGACCTTTTCACATGCAGTCATATAGTCATCTCGCGGGCAGTACATGCTAAAGAACAGTAAGTTATTTTGTCCATGTTCAAAGCAATTTGCGGTTTATTTGTGTCCAGTAAGCAATATGTGCATGGGTAATATTGTTTTCAAAAGATGTTCGCATCTGATATCTTTACATATTCACCTATCCCTCAGTCCTCAGCCAGTCGGCTATACAGTGTTGTAATGTACAGTGAGGGAAAAAAAGTATTTGATCCCCTGCTGATTTTGTACGTTTGCTCACTGACAAAGAAATGATCAGTCTATAGTTTTAATGGTAGGTTTATTTGAACAGTGAGAGACAGAATAACAACAACAAAATCCAGAAAAACGCATGTCAAAATGTTATAAATTGATTTGCATTTTAATGAGGGAAATAAGTATTTGACCCCCTCTCAATTAGAAAGATTTCTGGCTCCCAGGTGTCTTTTATACAGGTAACGAGCTGAGATTAGGAGAACACTCTTAAAGGGAGTGCTCCTAATCGCAGCTTGTTACCTGTATAAAAGACACCTGTCCACAGAAGCAATCAATCAATCAGATTCCACACTTTCCACCATGGCCAAGACCAAAGAGCTCTCCAAGGATGTCAGGGACAAGATTGTAGACCTACACAAGGCTGGAATGGGCTACAAGACCATTGCCAAGCAACTTGGTGAGAAGGTGACAACAGTTGGTGCGATTATTCGCAAATGGAAGACACACGAAGAACTGTCAATCTCCCTCGGCCTGGGGCTCCATGCAAGATCTCACCTCGTGGAGTTGCAATGATCATGAGAACGGTGAGGAATCAGCCCAGAACTACACGGTAAGATCTTGTCAATGATCTCAAGGCAGCTGGGACCATAGTCACCAAGAAAACAATTGGTAACACACTACGCCGTGAAGGACTGAAATCCTGCAACGCCCTCAAGGTCCCCCTGCTCAAGAAAGCACATACACATGCCCGTCTGAAGTTTGCAAATGAACATCTGAATGATTCAGAGGACAACTGGGTGAAAGTGTTGTGGTCAGATGAGACCAAAATGGAGCTCTTTGGCATCAACTCAACTCGCCGTGTTTGGAGGAGGAGGAGGAATGCTGCCTATGACCCCAAGAACACCATCCCCACCGTCAAACATGGAGGTGGAAACATGCTTTGGCGGTGTTTTTCTGCTAAGGGGACAGGACAACTTCATCGCATCAAAGGGACGATGGACGGGGCCATGTACCGTCAAATCTTGGGTGACAACCTCCTTCCCTCAGCCAGGGCATTGAAAATGGGTCGTGGATGGGTATTCCAGCATAACAATGACCCAAAACACACGGCCAAGGCAACAAAGGAGTGGCTCAAGAAGAAGCACATTAAGGTCCTGGAGTGGCCTAGCCAGTCTCCAGACCTTAATCCCATGGACAATCTGTGGAGGGAACTGAAGGTTCGAGTTGCCAAACGTCAGCCTCGAAACCTTAATGACTTGGAGAAGATCTGCAAAGAGGAGTGGGACAAAATCCCTCCTGAGATGTGTGCAAACCTGGTGGCCAACTACAAGAAACGTCTGACCTCTGTGATTGCCAACAAGGGTTTTGCCACCAAGTACTAAGTCATGTTTTGCAGAGGGGTCAAATACTTATTTCCCTCATTAAAATGCAAATCAATTTATAAAATTTTTGACATGCGTTATTCTGGATTTTTTGTTGTTATTCTGTCTCTCACTGTTCAAATAAACCTACCATTAGAATTATAGACTGATCATTTCTTTGTCAGTGGGCAAACGTACAAAATCAGCAGGGGATCAAATACTTTTTTCCCTCACTGTACCTGCCTCAGTTCATCCGACGTGAGATTGAAGCTTCATTATGGAGGAATAACAACTTTAAAGTCACGGTCACAGGCAGCATTAGCATTCCCGTGATATCACTGTATTGACGAAGTAATAGAGGTTAGATAGCGTATTTACGTGATCTAACTCCAAAAAACTATTTTGGATGATATTGGTCGCGAAAGCCTACATGTTAAACTTAATTAAAACCGTATGGGTGAAATCATGGACCTAACTCGAGTTTTATGATGAGATTCTTTGCTGTCAAATTGAGACTTGCTTCTTATAAATTAATCTTCACCGTTGTGTTGAACAGCCTATGATTGACAACCTAGGTCTGTACCTACTAAAGCTGTGTTTTTTTCATTCAATTAAAAAAAAAAAATCTTCATTGTAGTCAACGTGAATAAATTGAGAAAAATCTAGTAACGAGAGTCTTATCCAAATCTCCAAAGAAAAGGGACTCCGTCTCAATTGCCTCTCACCTGGTGGCAAATATCGGTCATGTGTGTGTTCATTGTTATGTTAAAGTGGCTTTAATGTATTCTTTCAAATCCAACGTGAAAAGTGTTAATTTTTGTTGTGCTTTACCCTTGATTTTTGTGGGTTTTGATTTCCTTTCGTTGCCAGGAGAGAAGCACTGATTTTAATAAACGCGGAGCGCAGCTTTTGGAGGATGAATAATAAATAACAGTGCATTAGCTCTTGCGTGACGGCAAGCGCGCGAGGAATTCGCCTTCGCAAAATGTGCATCTCGACTACAGCGGACCCAGTGGGTGCCTGCATTCACTTTGTGCTCGCTTCATCGTCTCTGTTGAGCTAACAAAAATGCATTTAAAAACAATAACAGGTTGGGATTCTGCCGTTGGCGTAGTGGTTAGCACAACGGACTTGCAATTCGTACGTGTCCGTTTAGATCTACCGGCACAGCAGTTGAGCAAGCGGTTACACTTCTTAAATCCCCCCCACCTCTGTCCAC